GGGAAGGGGGGAAGAAAAGCAGAAGAATCAAACCTCTGTCCTGTGGCCCATTTCAGCCAGGCCCACCTAAGTGGTGACCCAAAATTGACCCCTTCTGCAAACTCCTGCTCTGGCTGTGCCCCCTGGCCTAACGAAGGTCTAGGAAGTGACACCTGACCCACAGCCACCACCACTGTCTCTTGCCCAGTGACCACCATACTTCCTTCCTGGCTTCCCAGCTTCCACCCTGACCCCACAGTCCATTCTCAAATAGGAGCCAGGGGGAATGGAATGAAAACCTACCCCTCTGCTTAATGCTCCTCAACCCATCTCCAATTAAAAACAAAACTCCAAACAAACAAAATCCCAGATCCTCCCAGTGACCCTTGCTGGTGGCTCTGAGCTCAGTCACTGCCCATCTCCTCTCTGCTCACCTGCGGCTGCCACCAGGGCCACCTTGCTTTCCCAACCCACCAAGTTCCCTCCTGCCTCAGGACCTTTGCATGTGCTGTTCCCACTACCTGGAATGTTCTCCCCACACTGACTCCTCTCAGTCAGTCCATGTGAATGAGCCAAAGGACAATAGGTACGGGCAAGAGGCTAGGGGAGGGGGCAGGGGACGGACGAGGGTGAGATGGGAGTGAGGCTATTCACCAGGAGACCCCTCGACCAATGAGGCCCTTAGGTGACTTGGCTGGCACCATCTCCTTCTGGACCATGAAGTAGGGGTACAGCACATCAATGGGCAGCTCCACAAACACCGGACCTATGGGGGCAGGGAGGATGCTGAGCCTGCAGCATCTGCCCCAGCCCCTGGGCCCCAGGGCCTGACCACTGCCCAGTACCACCCCCTGCCTCCTACCTACCTGGGGTGCCTGATTGGGCGGCAGCCATTGCAGCCCTCAGGGTAGGCACAATGTCCCGCACCCTCCGCACAGATGCACAAAACTTGCAGATCGGCCGGAACAGAGATATCTGATCAATGGCTTGGAGTGCGCCCCGGTTCTGGCAGAGACAGGGGTGGCGCAGAGTTACCATGTGAGCCCTTGGAGGCTCCCTGGGGCCCCCCACCAGCCCCCGAGGCCTGGGCACCTGTAGCAGGGTGCCAGCAGCCCCACCCAGAAGCAGGACTGGAGACTGGGCTATCTGGGCATTCTTCATTGCAGTCACTGTGTTGGTGAGGCCAGGACCCGCAGTCACTGCTGCCACACCCACTGTCCCTGGAACACAGACTCCATCATGGCCATGCCCACTCCTGCCTCTCACCAACACCCTATCCCACAGTCCCGCCAGCCCCCAACCCTCCCTGCACCACCCTCACCAGTCAGGCGGGCCACAGCATCGGCAGCAAAGACAGCCGTGACCTCGTGGCGTGTGTCCACCACACGAATGCCCAGTTTCTCAGAGGCCACCAACAGCGGGGAAATGTGCCCACCAACCAGCGTGAAGAGGAACCGTACGCCATGGGCTTTCAGCACAGCTGCCACGTTCTCCCCGCCGTGCCGGACACTCTCTTTGTCCACCTGGACCAGGGGAGGGAAGAGCAAGACTGTCAAGGGTAAAAGCACCTGTGAAGAAGGGGCAATCCCCTTCCCCCAGGTAGAGAATGCAGCAGCAGGGTCGGAGGTCAGGAAACCCTTGGTGTAGGTTAGACACTGATTATACCATACACCAGACTCACTGCAGGGCACATTATCTTGTCAGAGCTTCTTGTCACTGTGTCCATCTTACAGCTAAAGACATCAAGGCTTGCCGAAGTAAAATTCAAAGTCTGAGGGAATCCACACTCTTAAGCACCCCACCCTGACAGACTTTCTTCTTCAGGGATGGCGGGGCAATCAGGGACAGAGGAGACAGAAGGTGGACTTATATAACCCAAGGGAGTATGGCCAGGAGGGTGAGGCAGTGAGGCATGTGCTGTGACACCTATCTGCCCTCTGGTATCCCCGCAGGGCCACAATGCTGAACTCAGCCTACCTGACTCCCTCCCACTCGATACCAAGCAGGAGTAGGCCGGGCTGACAGGCTGCCAACCACCATGTGCCTGGCATGGGAGCGGCCTGCTGACATAGACCATGCTGAGGCCTTCCAGCACCACCTTCCTTATTGCCCCAATGGGAGAGGGGGTTGAGGAGGGAGGGTGTCAAAGCTGGTCCTAGGTAGGAGAGGAAGGATTGGGGAGTGGACCTGGGGAAAGGGTAAATTTATAAGAGAAACAAAGTGAGGCCTGTGGGGTCCACTCTTCCCAATCTGGTCACCTAGGGCAAACTACCACACAACCTCTCTGAGTCTCAGTTTCCCCTTGTGGAAGATGAAGGCAGAAACAACAGCACCAACTTCCAGGGACATGGTAAGGGGTACGTAAGAAAATTCCTCTAAAGCATTAAGCTCAGCAGAAAGCAACTGTCACAAAACTGTCACCAACACCCCCTTTGGTGACTGTCCTCAGTCCACTGGTCGCACCGGGTTTAGGGAAGCATAATCCTAGTGGTGTCCGTCTGCTCTGTGTAAAGAGCTCTCCTGGGGAAGGAGATTGGCGGGTGTGATTGCCCGGGCAGCAGTAGCTTCCCGATTATCTCTTACTAGTGGCAAAGTCCGGGGCCCCATATGCAGCTTGGCAATGAGGACAGGGCCCTGGACGGAATCTCCCGACCAGGCCCTCTCCACTAATCGAGCCTCTCTTTTCACGCCTGTAAAATGGATGAGCTGGAAGGAGAGCCACGAGGTCCCTCCTGCTCTGGCTGCCCCCATTCCGCCTCCCGTCCGTGCCCCCACACCTTGTGCATCAGCTGATAGAAGAGCCCCAGGCGGTGCGCGGCACCCAGTAGGGCGGCCACCAGCGTCCCGCAGGCCAGGAGCAGGAAGGAGGGAAGGAAGCTCCTGGCAGAACCGGTGGCCGCGAAGTTCTCCATGAGATTGCGCCTAAGAGAGAAAGAGCAGTGCCAGGACCTTGAGCGCTTCTGACCTTACCCGGAAGGAGGCGTGACCACCCTCCCAGCTCAGATCTCGGGCCACGCCCACAAACCCAATGGGCCACGCCCCTTACACAGATAGGCACGGGGCAAGGCCACGCCTTCCAGAGGCCAGACCACGCCTCTCGCGACTCCAGCCTCAGCCCCTTAACGTCATCACCACCACCACCCAACCTACGCTACCACAGGCGAGTGCAGCGACCGTCGCATCAAAACAGTTATCTCCTCACTTACCTATTTGTCAGTGGATCGACGGGAAGCCGCGCCTCTCTCACAACAGGACCCAAATCTCAGCCCCAGAGGTGAGCCCGCCCCACGTCTACGTCACACACAGGGCCGAGGCCACGCCCCCCAGGTTAACGGCGCGACCCTCGGCTCAAGCTACGCCTCTTCTCCTTAGGGAACGACCGAGCCCGACCCCCGACCCCCGGCCGCGGGTCGAGGTCAAATCCCGTCAGGACACTTCTCCGACCCCGGCTGGACCCCGGGACCCTTAAACCTTCACCGCAGGAAATGGCGCTGACTCCAGCCGAATTCAGCGCCCTCCGTGTCACGTGACCTGAGCGCGGCCGTACCTCTTCCTCCCACTTGGCTCAGCAGCGCCCCGTACTCCGGCCTGCTGCGCGTGCGCACACTGGGAGCCGCGCTCTGGGGGCCGTTCGTAAGATTCCCTCTTCCTAATAGCAGCCTCCGCACAGGCTTCTCCTCCCCTCGCCTGTCATTGGTCCGCACCGCGGGCCTCACACTGCCCCTCCCCTTTGTTTTTAACCAAGAGATCACGCCCCTCAGAGTCTTGCATTAGCCAAGACCCTCGAGAGCTCTCTTTACTCAGCCTTCCGTTGGCCCCACACTGCAGGCCCATAGACTTCGGGCTCTCCGGGCGGAGCCAGCTTTCCACACTAGCCATGCCCTACGCGCCTTAACGTTAGCTGGGCGTGGACAATCACGGGTCCGCTTCCGAGAGACCTACCGGCTGGGGCCTTTTCCCAATCAGGCCCTGCCCCGTCCAAGAACCAAGCCCCGCCCCTTCTGGTAGCCCCTCCCCCTTCGCGGACCAAGGAGTTTCTCCGCTTCGCCCGCAGAGGAGTTGACGCTCCGAATCTCCCTGGTCGCTGGTCCCAGCCCGCGTTCCACCACCTTCCAGCCACCGGCCTCTGGAAAACGATCTCCCCATCAGTAAAGGGGGAGTCATTATGGTACCGAGCTCCTTTCTTCTAAGACACATCCTACCATTTTTACACTGGCTGCCGTGCCCTGCCAACTTCTGGGATTTCCCTCTGAGGATCCTCCCCCATCGTTAATCTTACCTTCTCCTGAATGATGCCTACGTTTTAATATCACCCATTAAAAAAAAAAAAAAAAGCCTCATCTCCGCTGGTGCTACATTACACCTGTTACACTGCCTCTTTGCTCCTCTGTTTAGCAAAATTCTTCTACTGAGTTATCTATACTTGCTGACTTCACGAGCGCGACTCCTATTCTCTCATGAACCCAAGCCAAACAGGCTCTCCCCTCCCCGCCCACAACTGTTCTGGATATAACAAGAGTTTCCAAATTGGTCGCTGTCCCTCCAGTTTCTCATTCAACCTCCCTCTCCCCAGCCTCAACAGGGACAATGCAAGGGAGTTACCCCTTGCCTGGCACTCTAGTGAGGGCCCATAATATTGAACAGGATAATATGCAAACTTCCTAGAAGGGCCTTCTAGGCCCAGTTAGACTCCCAGAGCCAATAATGAAATAGTGGTCATTACCTTTTTGTCAAGTACTGATTGTGTCAGAGGTGCTGTTCCATGCACCTTTCACACATGAACTCATTTGATCCTCACAACAGCCTGTAAGGCAGGTTTATTATCGTTATCCCCATTTTGCATGTGAGGAAACTGAAGCACAGAGAGGTTAAGGAACTTGCCCAAGGTCACCCAGCTTGCAAGTGGTAGAGACGAGATGGGAAATCGGGCATTCGCATCTGGGCCCCCAGACTGGGAGTGACTCAAGGATGTGTTTAACCTCATCTGGCTTCCCATGCCTTTCACACGGTGTGGTATTTGGGGCCCACACAGATCCCCTTGCCCTTACCACCAGCTGCAGCACCAGCAGCTCTTTGCCTGAAGATTTCTCTGGCCACCAAACCTCATTTTACTTAGCTGTGCAGCAGGCTAGAAGAGCTGCGGAATTAACACCTCCCTCCCCTCAAGCAGCCCATAATCAATGACTGGAGGACACTGGTAAGTAAATACCCCAGCTCTCTCACCTCTTGGAGAGGACAACTTACAGGTGTGTTCCTACACTTGACTCCCAGACTTTCCCAGTGCAATTAAGTTGCCCGCAGTGGTACCTTCTTTGATAACACATCCTTTACTGGCCACCTTCCCTTCCCCAACTCTTCCTCACTTCCCCGCTATAGTTTCCTCGGATCATCTATTAAACTTCTCAAACAAACTACCTGTTCAGTCTACTTCTGGGAGACTCAATCTAAGACCCAGAGTTTGGTACAAAGGTATATTCATAGAGTTCTGCCTAACAGATGAGTAATTGCTCTCCCACATGAATAGAAATGAGTGTTGTCTAGAACGTGGCAAGAGAAAGATGTAAATGAAAAACCTTCTAGCTGTCCTCTGGGACAGTTGTGCTGCCACTAACCAGAGAATTGGCTTTTAGAACAACTGGTGTTTCTCCAGCAAAATTCTTTGATTCAAGGAAAGGGTTGGTGAATTTCACCTAACTTGTCATGAGTCTCAGATTCATGTTTACCTGAAACTCATTTCATTTCAGAACTCATTTCTACCACCATGGAGCCAATCAGGTCAGCCTTAACAACTTCACATTCACAACCTTGACCATATCAGTGCATCATCTCTCTCTCTCATTTTTTTATTTTTTTTTTTTTAAATTTTTATTTTGTCAATATACAATGTATATGATTATTATGGCCCTTCACCGACACCTCCCGCCCTCCTCCCTCTCTCCCCTCCCCCCCAAGAATGTCCTTTCCGTTTGCTTGTTGTAACAACTTCAAAAAAAGTATAGTTGTTATATCTTCTTCCCCCCCCCCCCCCCGGGTTTTTTTTGTGTATGTTTGTGGGTAAATTAATTTGTTTATTTTTTAGCTCCCACCAATAAGTGAGAACATGTGGTATTTCTTTTTCTCTGCCTGACTCTTTTCACTCAATATTATTTAAGCTTTTTATTTTAGAATACTTTTGGATTTACAGAAAAGGCATAAACCCATCATTACTGGGCCCAAGTGTGGCTGCCTGCCCCAAACAAAAACCCTGGCTTGGCTTGCCAAAATCCATTACCCAAGGACATTCAGCTCCTGGTTTAGGCTTGTCAAAATCTTGTTACCGAAACCAAGTCCAGCTGCCTGCCCTGAACAAAAACAAACCACTCAAAAGTCAAATGTTGGTGAAAATGGAAGTCAACTTTTATTCAGGAATACCAGTGACCTGGGGAGAGATGTTAGGCTAACCCATCTTTTCAGTAAATTTGAAAGAGAATGGACAGACCAAAGCCATCTCCCTAACTCAGACTTACTGAGGGGTTTTTAAAGAGGAGATTGAGGGAGTGGAACATGAGAAGTGAAAAGCAGGAGGGAGGGGCTGTGGGGGCTCCGTGCAAGCAGCCAGGTGCAAGGTCTCACCAAGCTTCCATCTGGTTTCTGTTCTCACCCTTGGTGTTATCTCAGGGTCCTGCTGGAGGGTGGGATCAGCATAGCTTTATGGATGTCTTCCTTGGTTTCTCAGGGTCTGGGTAGTATGTGACTTTTGGCAAGTTTGCAGCTCCAGGCTGACTGGAAGACAACTTTACATTTATGTAAATAATGTCATCTTTCCCTTAACCAAGGTTCAAATTATCCAATAACCACAGGAAAAGAGGAAACTCAGAGAAATGCATGCCAAGAGAAAAAAACAGAGTCTTTTAAATCTTCCTACAGCCCAGGCGGTTTTATGTCCCAACATGGCTTTCAATCCTGCTCACTCCAACAGCTTCACTCAGCTTACACCATGGTTAACATCTTACAGAATGAGGGTGGAACAATGGATAAAAAATAAGAAACCAACGTTAACTAAAATTCCAGGCTTTATTCAAATGTGACTAGTTCTTCCAGTAATGTCCTTTTCTCTGTCCCAGGATCCTACATTTCATTTATAGTCACTTCTACTTTGATTTTCTATTGCTGAAGCAGCATGAGCCAGCCACTATTTTAAAAGTATCTATTCGCTTGATCCTCATAACGACCCTATGAAGTAGATACCATATTTCTCTGATAGGAAAAAATAGAGTTTAACAGCCGCAGCAAAGTCATAAAAATCAGGAAGTTGTGGATCTGTGATGTAAACACACAAAGTCCAGTTCCAAAGTCTATATTCTTATTTACTACACTATGTCATTTCTTGGAAGAGAAGAGAAGCTCTTTTTCAGTTTCCTCCTAAGCAATATTATTCATGAAGTCACATTGATCTGTTTGTTATGCATTTCCTAATACACTTTAAAATAAATATATCACTGTTAAAACAAACAGCATGCGTCTTTCTAGACTCAAATAATAGGTGAGATGCATTTCACACTTTTGAAAGCTGCCAGCATGTGCCCTTCCTGAAAGTTTCAATGCACAGAGCTAAGCTGAGGGCCTTGGGAAAATCTCCTGATAGTAGCACCCTACAGTTTGCAAAATGCTTTCACTGGTTGCTACCTACTTTCACAAACCTGTGCTTGGTTGACCTCCTACTGTGGGCCTGCCATAGAAAAGTCTACACAAAATCCAATGTTCGTGTGTTAATTTCCCAAGGCTACCATAACTACTGAGTGGCTTAAAACAACAGAAATTTATTCTCTCTCAGTTCAGGAAACCAGAAGTCCCAAATCAAGATATCAAGATGTCAAGAGGCTTGCTTCCTTCGGGGTGCTTCATTCCATTCCTCTCTCCTGGCTTCTGGTGGCTGC